AAGCCACATAATTTTTGCCTAGCTCGCTTCTTCTCTTCAATTTCATCAATAATCAAAACCAAAATAAGTAGAAAAATAATAATGAATCACTAGTTTTGTAGATATTTATTTACTTTCAAAGTACAATATTATAATTCTCTTGTCTGTATCATTAGGGTAAAAAGATAACGAATTAGGCAAGCTTTGACCGGGGCAATGAGAAAGTAATTAGGTCCTAATCATAATTAATTACATACTAATTTTTTTTAAAAAAAGTACCTGCAATTGCCCAACATTGTACCAAATTCACACCTGGCTCGATCTACGATAGTTGGTTTAGGTAAAGTGGGAGAAAAGCAGCATTAATTCTTACTACACATTTAGATAAGTCAAGTTTTGTCGGCCTTAATTGCTTTTACTACTACTAATTAGTCAAAGATGATTAAAAATAAATTTCGTTACTAATCTCTCATTATCGATTTGTAGATCCATTTTATTTATTATGTAGGTGTCCTGGAAGGTCCCACGGGTGGTGTTGTTTAGGCCCATTTGGTTACGCTGTCCATCAGATTAGACATGAGAAGCGATTAACTAGTATGTGATGTTTAGACTCCGAATTTAGTAACTCTGTCGATCGATCCCCACAGATTTCGTTTGATCGCAAGAACACATGGAATCCTCTTTTTACGCGAAGTGTCACAATGATAAAGTATGCAAAATCATAATTGATATATATGGAGTGATTGGGGAAGTAATACGTAACTGTGAAGTGAAAGCTCAATAATCTCAAAAAAGCCATGTATGATTTTTGTCTTGTGGTTGAAATTATGACAAGAACTGACGATTTAAACAAGAGAAATCAAAAAAAAATTCAGAGGCAAAATCATTGAAAAAGAGAACATTCTAATGTGAAAACAAAATAGCATAATGGAATGTCGGTAGGCGAAGGATACTTCCATTTGCTACGTTTTGTTTTTTTTAGAAAACGTCATTTCTCGTGTGTGTGGTCAAGTACGGTCTGGGCCTGAATATTTAGGCCTCACTTTGTGGGGGCCCAACTTGGATTCTGTGGCCCATCTCAATATTTTCCCCACTATATTTCTACAAATCTTTCTCTTTATTTCGATTTTGATACTTATATCGAAGCTCGACTAATTAATTTTCACACCCTCGTAGGACACAATTTGAGGAGAAGTGTTCCTTACCAAAATTTTTTCTATATTCAAGGATCAAACCTAAAATCTTTAATTAAGAAAGGAGCAGCACCATCCGTTGTACTAGTGATATATCTTTTTGTCTTTGTGTGTGCATTCACCTGGGAAATAGTATAAATTTAGTTAGTAAAGTAGTGGTACTTGCTAAATATAAGAGGAATATTTTTGTACGAAATTATTAGAAGGTCGAGACATTTAAGTTTGACAACTCTTTCTAGTATTTTGTATCACAATTATAATTGTCGGAACTTCAAAATATAATTCACTTCTATTATTTAGGGGGGTGACAGATGGTTAGTATTTTGTATAACTGTTATAATTGTCGGAACTTCAAAATATAATTCACTTCTATTATTTAGGGGAGTGACAGGTAGTCAATTTGGGTTTAATTTGAACGGTGAAAATGAACTGAATTAATATATAATATATTTTAAATTTTGCCCAAAGGTTATTTCGATTGAGATTGACAAGACCAACATGAGTTAAAAACACAAGGTCATGACTCAATCGTGCAATTTTACAATTTTTTGTTTAATTTTTATTTTATTATGAAGCAAAACTAAACAAAAAAAAAATCATTATTCTATCAACAAAATAATTGATAAAATTTCATATTTACTAATTTGAGCTATATATTTCGCCTAAATCAAACAATTTTTAAATGAGCTGAATTAGATAGATCAAAGTGGCTACAGTTAATAAATGCATGAATCATTAACCTGTACAAACTTAAACCAATCCAGCAGGTCATACTTTGATACACTAATTTTTCCGTCCTACTTCTATTGTATAATAGCCACTTCAAAAATCTTTTCAATTCTAAATCTTATAATTTATTGTATGAACTCTAAGAAATATTATAATTCATCGCACTACCCCCCACCTCCCATTTCAGTCTACTAAAACTACTCTTTGTACAAAAAAAAAAAATGAAAAAATGAATTCAGAAAACGAAGATTATTATGTACTTTTGTGTACTTATGAAACGTCATTTAAAAAAGTAGCATAAACAACAATTTTCAGAAAAATAAGCCTGTTTAAGAACTGTTTGAGAAAGCAACATAAAAGAAAGATTTGTTTGAATTGAAATAGCAATAACCAATAATGTCAAATAAGAAAATAAGATAAGAGGGAACAGATATATCTAGCACATCACGATAATACATCAAATAATTATGAAAATAAAGTTCGACCTAAATAAATGGCAATCAATAATAATTATGAATGTTAAATACTAGACAGTTTGAGCGAATATAGGTGGGACAAAAAAAAATTGGGCATAGATTGGCTTAAGATGAGCTAAATAATGAGTGATAACTAAACCTATCAAACTCATACCTTGTTTGAATTATTTATTTATTTTCTTATAATTTACTTAATTAAGAAATAAAACTTTTAATTATTATTATATGACTATATATAGCATGTTACACAATTAAAAAGAGGACTTTTTATTAATATTTTAACAAGGTTATTGGTCAATTGAGCTATATATTTTGGCCAATCAACTTAACTTTTACTTGAGTTGAATTAAGCATATCAAAATGAACAATTAATAAAATAGGAGGGTCGTTAACTCACCTAAATTAGACGAATTGAGTGAATTATATTTTTACAAGGAGTGCTATGAGCTGATTTTCTATTACTGGAACTAAAAAAAGAAGATAAAAAGAAGCAAGCAGTCATTGCTTAGTCCAATTAATTTATTAGACTTCAAGGTAGGGGTCATTTGCACTTTAGGTCCTATTTTGTGTTCATCTTTTATGCCTCTCATAATAAATAATTTTTTAGTGAGACATAAGTTTATATTTTTGTATCATAATATTTCACCGTACATAACTTCAGCTTCTAAAAAACTTGTGCCTCATCAGGCATAAATTCGATTGTAAAAGACAAAATTTAAGACCAGACAATTTGAAAGTTAAAACGTGCAATTTTATGTTAAGACTAATGTTGCAACATGACCAAGATTATGAAAGGCTCATACACCCTCGTTTACATTCTCTTTGCCCAATTTTCGGTCCAATTCCTAGATAGATAAATTATAAATAAATTTATCGAGCCTAACACTTTGCAAGAACTTGAAAATTAAGGGCGTATAAAATCGAATCGAAAACCGAACTAAACTGCAAACCAAGTTAAACAGAAAAAAACCCCACTAGTGGTTTGGTATTAAAAAAAAAAACCCAACTATATTTGGGTTGGTTTGGTTTTAACTAAAAAAAACAACCGAGGCCAAATCAACCCGACATTATATATATAATTTTAAAATTTTATTTTATACATAAAAATATTTACTTTGATATAATTTTTAAATATTTCTTATACTTTTTCATAGTTTTTATCTTTTAATATATTATTTCAAGTTTGAAACTTAGAATTCTGAATGTTCCAATAAAGATTATAGTCCACATATGTTGGTAATTATAATAAAGTTTAAATCAAAATCAAATTAATGCTAATGCAAAAAAAAAATCAATTCAACACTAAGAATGACAATAATATTGAATATTTGTTCTTTAGTTTTACATTGGTTTAGACAATTAAAATACATAATATAATTTTAATTT